TGTGAAAATGAAACGAGGAATGGTTGAACTGAGCAGCATGAGAAGTACAAGTACCAAACCCTAAAGTGTTGTACCCCATATAAGCTACCCCACTACAGCCTACACAGACTATAGTGCATGAGTTTGACACACCCCCATAGGCAAAGTGGGGGAGAGCAAGGGGTCACAAGACCAGTCAAGCAAAGCAAGGCAAAGCAAGCTCAGGGTGGATCACAACGTCACCACACATTCTGAGCACAAGTTCAAGGCCACAAGGCCAGTTCACATGCAAGATTACATATATATAAGGCTAAACAAGCAAGAGCAGGTATATATATATGTAACAGTACAAACAAGGTCAAGAAGTGAGCAAGTGAGGCAAGGTAGGCACAAGGCCCAGCTGAGTACAGAAGCACTGATGATCACAAGGCGCGAGTGCCTTGGTGAAGATATCAGCAGTGTTGGCCTGAGAGGCCACGTACGCAAGTCGCAGCTGACCACGCTGCTGTAGCTCACGAGCTAAGAAGTAGCGAAGAGCAATGTGCTTCGTTCTGTGCTCCAGTCTCTGCTCCCGACACAAGGCCAGCATGGCCTTGTTGTCTACGTACAGCACTGGAGGAGAACGAGGCGGCTCTCCGAGGTCAGTCAGCAGGTAGGTGAGCCAGCGAAGCTCCTGTGCAGCCATGGCCCCTGCGTAGATCTCAGCCTCACAACTGGAGCCGAGAACAGAAGACGAGCGGGTAGCCCGCCACGAAACAGAGCCGGAACCAAGGCTGAAGGTGTAACCCTGTGACGACCGCTGCGTAGCCTGGTCGTCAGCCCAAGAAGCGTCTGCGTGCCCAGTGAGGACCACTGGACTCTGCCCTCCAAGCACAAGCCCCATGCCCGACGTACTGCACAAGTAGCGCAACACCCTCTTCGCTGCAGCCATGTGCTCCGGTCTGTGTCTCCCAGGAGCAACATAGCGTGCGAGAATGCTAAGAGGGTATGCAAGGTCAGGTCGAGTGCAGGTCATCAGGTACATGAAGCAGCCAACAAGCTCTGGGTACGGGCCACTCAACTCTACGGACTCATCCGAAGGCAGAGCTGAGAGCGAGTGGCGAGTAGGCAGAGGAGTGGCCTGAGGCGAGGAGTACGTGAAGCCGAAGCGCTGAAGGACCTGCTGCACCATGTGTGACTGAGTCAGGGTAATGGTGCGCTGTGCTCTGTCCCGGGTGATCTGCAAGCCAAGGTAGCTACGCAGTTCACCCAGGTCTGTGCACGTGTGTCTCTTCTGCAGCTCGGACTTCACGTGGGCGAGTCCAGCAGTGTCAGCTGTGGCAAAGACCAAGTCGTCGACGTACACGAGGATGTAGAACGGCGGCAAAGAAGTGTCGGTGCGCAGAAACAGCGACGGGTAGGCAGTAGAGGGAGCAAACCCAAGAGCCGCAAGTGTAGTCCTCAGTGTGTCGTGCCACTCACGCGGTGCCTGGCGGAGACCGTAGACTGGCCGCCGGAGGCTCCACTGGGTGCCAGGAGGAAAAGTCCCAGTGAAGCCAAGTGGGCGGCGCAGCCAGATCTCCTCGTGCAGGCTGCCCTGCAAGAAAGCAGTGCTGAAGTCAAGAGAGTGCAGCTCGTAGTCACGGTGAGCAGCTATGTGCAGCAGTACCCGAAGAGTGGTCATCTTCGGGGTGGGAGAGAAGGTCTGAAAGTAGTCAACTCCCTGCCGCTGACTGAAGCCACGAGCCACGTAACGCGCCTTGAAGACAGGCGGAGAACCCGGCGGCCGCTTCACCCTGAAAATCCACATGCCACTGACGATGTTCGCCCCAGGCGGGGGAACCTCGTCAACGTAGGTGCCTGTGGACTTCCAGGAAGCCATCTCTGCGTCCATAGCTGCCTGCCACTGAGAGGAGTAGGGACCCTCTATCGCCTCCGCGTAAGAGCGCGGAGTCGGGATGTCAAGTGCATCCGGGTCTCCCTCAGGGGTAAGCAGTACGGACACGAGATGAGGTGAAGCAGCAGCCAAACACTGGAACTCCTCCTGCCTGTCCTCAAGGACGTCCGTGCCAAGGGCACACTCACCCCCGACGGACGGAGGACAGACAGACTCAGACTCAGCAACAAGACTAGCAGCGTAGTCTAGACGACAGCGAGCAGCAAAGTCAACGAGCTCAGCAACTAGGGCAGACGCAGCAGCGGACTCAAAGGAAGGGTCCGTGACAACAGTAGCAAGGAGACGCGTGACAGTCGGACTGGCAGCACGAAGAGAGTCCGACTCCGGGTCGGCAAGAGCAGGAAGAGAGGACTCAGGAGGAGAAGGCAAAGGGGCACGCAGAGGAGCAGTGGACGGACGCAGAGACATCCGGTGCGTGCCAGGGACAGGAGGAGGACGCTGACGCGAACCACGACCACTAGCGCGAGCAGCACGGACAGGCGACACAGGGCGAGACGCAGGCGCACGACGCTCAGCAAGACCTCCAGTAGGACCAGTGTAGGGAGAAGGAGCAGGCAGTGGGGAGGCCGGCTGTAACTGTAACTGCGACGGGACAGGCTGTGGACACTCTAAGGGAGGAGGAGGACCAGTAGAAGGCGGGAGACCAAGAACCTGCTCAAGGAGCGGAACGAAGTACGGCCGAGGCCGCGCAGCGACTCCAGACACAGCAGGGACAACACCAGTACCCCCAGTGGCAGCACCAGAGCCAACAGCACCGCCAGCTCCAGCACCCCCAGCAGCTCCACTAGCTCCAGGACCTCCAGCAGCACCAGTAGCACCCCCTGCAGGACCGCCTCCAGTACCGCCAGCAGTACCCTCAGCGCCAACACCCTCAGCAGCTCCAGCTCCAGTCGGACCACGAGAAGACGCAGTGGCCCCAGCTCCAGTAGTACCCGCAGGCCCAGCAGCTCCAGTACTCCCAGTACGAGCACCTCCGGGACCCGTGGTACCAGCACCCTCAGCAGCCGAAGAACCTCCAGCTCCAGCAGCACGCCTCCAGCGCCGGGCAAACCACTCACGCACCTCCTGTGGAGAGAGTGGCTCCCGTCGAGACGGAGCACCCGGAGAACCTCCAGGCCCAGCACCGCCAGACGCCACACGAGTAGGCCCAGCTCCCGCAGGCTCCGCAACTCTAGGCTGAGCACCCCCAGGCTCAGCACCCCCAGTCGTAGCACCCCCAGGCTCAGCACCCCCAGACTCAGCACCCCCAGGCGCAGCACCCCCAGGCGTAGTACCCCCAGGAACAGCACCCCCAGGCTCAGCACCCCCAGGCGTAGCACCCACACGCTCAGCACCCCCAGAGTCAGCACCCCCAGGCTCAGCACCCCCAGCAGCACCAGAGTCACCAGCTACCTCAGCAGGCTCGACTGCGTCTACCTGGGACACACCTGAAGGGGCAGGACCCTGAGGGGGAAGGGGGTCTACCGGGGGGGGACCTGGCACAAGGAAGAGCGGTGGCGGGGGGAGGGACGGAGTGCGGTAGGGGAAGAGGCGGTAGTAGGGCACCGACTCGTCAAACGTGACGTCCTGGGAGGACAGAACACGGCGAGAGGTGGGGTGGTAGAACTGCCACCCTGGCGCGTCAGGGGGGAAGCCAAGGAAGACGCAGGGAGCAGCACGAGGGGACAGCTTGTCCGCAGACAAGTCGCGGACAAACGCCCGAGATCCCCAGACACGGAACGCAGACGCATCGCCAACCTTCCCCGTCCACAGCAAAGCTGGGGAGGCCTCCGGCATGGAGACCCTGGGCTGAAGGTTGATCTGATGCGCCGCGTACCGAACCGCAAACGGCCACAGAAAATGGGGGGCAGCCGCATGCATCATGGACGTACGGGCGACGTCCATGACCATGCCAATGCGGCGCTCAGCAATCCCATTTTGCTGTGGAGAGTCCGGAAGCGTGAAGGTCTGGCGGATGCCTCGTGCACGACAGTAGGCTCGCAGAAGGCCAGAGGAGAACTCCCCGCCTCTGTCAGAGTGCAGACGCAGAACAGGAAAGTCCGAGCCGAAACTCTTCCTGAGCTGGAGACGAGCTGCGCGGATCCAGTCGATCAACACCTCAGTGACATCACCCTTGCTGCGCAAGGGGAAGACTGTGGTGTAACGCGAGTAGTCGTCAACCACCAGCAGGAAGTAGCGCTCGTGACCCTGTCCACGGACGCGGGCTGGGCCCCACACGTCCATGTGAAGCGTCTGCAGCGGGGCCTCTGTCGGAGGAAACTGGGAGGAGTGAGGGGCAGCACGCTGCCGCCCCTCGACACAGGGGACGCAGGTAGGGGCAGGCCCCGGAGGAAGGGGAGGGAGGGACCGGGGAAGACCAGAGACAAGGACACGAGAGGCCATGCCTCGGAGACGAGGCAGGGAGGGGTGACCAAGGCGGTGGTGCCAGAGGAGAGTCTCGTGAGACAGGAGGCGACACGAACAGGGGGCAGACTCAGGACCAGACCTGGACGCTGCAGCAAACACCTGACCCGACGCAGCTGCCTGACCAGACGCAGTGACTGGAGGAGACTCAGTGGTCAGTGTGTACAGGCTCGACCCCGGCCGACGTGTAAACGTGGCCAAGTGTCGGCCCGTCCGAGCGTCCGTGCAGTGGGTCACTCGCTGGCTCGCAGGAGTGAACTGGTGAACCCCCGCATCCTGTAGGTCAGCACCACTCACCAAGTTCGTAGAGAACGAGGGAAGGTAAAGACCAGACAGGGTGCCAGAGGGGGCCGCCGGACACGGGAGGGCAGTGGAGAAGTGTGCAAGGACAGGACCCCCAGAGGGGTCTGCCAGAGAGACTGCAACAGGCCGACTGAGCGGCGTGAGTGTGGTGCGGTCTCGAAAGAAGGAGCGGGAAGCCCCTGAGTCAAGGGTAAAGGTGTGGGAGGCCGTAGCCGACGCAGTACCTGAGAGAGCAGACTCACCAGCACCTGAGGAAGGAGACTCACTGGCACCTAGAGCAGCAGCCTCACCAGTACCTAGAGCAGCAGCCTCACCAGTACCTAGAGCAGCAGTACCAATGCCCGGGTCGGGCGGAAAACACCGGTAACAGTCACCCTCATCACTAATAGTCACAGCATACATGGCAGCAAGAATAGCATCATAATCAAGATCAAAAATAGGAACCCCCGCCCTAGTCAGCTCGCCCCAGCGAGGGATCTCAGTGGCCTCAGGGAACTGGTGACGCCAAGCGTCCGTCAGGCGGCCAAAGCAGCGCTGGGTGGAGTGCGAACCCCCGCACGGCTCACCCGCGTGGTCGCCGGTGCGCAGGACGTAGGTACACGGACCAGCACCCCCACCTCGCTGACGTGCAGCGTACCACTCACGAAGCTGCTGAGGGGGAGGGATCTCACGGGTGCGCTGCTGCTGCTGCTGCTGCTGGCGCGGACCACCACCGGAGCCGACCCTCTGCGCAGCGCCACCCCGACCAGCTCCACCTCCTCCGCCGCTACCTCCTCCGCCGCCACCTCCGCCACCTCCGCTCCCACCGCCACCGCCGCCGCCGCCTCCACTGCCGCCACTGACGCCCCCACCCCCACCACCACCCCCACCGCCACCCCCACCCCCTCCACCGCCTCCACCGCCGCCGCCACCGCCCCCGCTAGCTCCTCCAGCTCCCTTGCCCCCCTTGCCCTTGCCAGTGCGGTGTCTCCCGCTAGGGGCAGACGCCGCACCGACCGACTCAAGACCAACGAGGTCGGCCGCAGCAGCAGAGGCAACAGAGGGCAAGAGGGGAGAGGGGGAGCACCCCTCAAAGACAGGGGCACGAGGGAAATATATCGAGGTGGAAAAAATATCGAGGTGGGCCCTAGAGAGCGTTCCCACTAGGGAACCTGCTCTGATACCATGTGAAAATGAAACGAGGAATGGTTGAACTGAGCAGCATGAGAAGTACAAGTACCAAACCCTAAAGTGTTGTACCCCATATAAGCTACCCCACTACAGCCTACACAGACTATAGTGTATGAGTTTGACACCGTCCTCGTCGGGTTGATCCAATGCTACTTGCGACTGTCGTTTGCTAGTTTTTTGTTGTTGTTGTTGTTGTTTTTTTTTTTTTTTTTTTTTTTTTTTTTTCAAGGGTGCTTCACTATTCTTCCCTAGTAGTTCCACTAGGGCCTTCTTCATTTTCCAACACGCCAAAATCTGATGTCCGATAACGCCGCAAAATTCGAACAATTCATTTTTTCGCCGGCTGTTTGTGAGGATCGATTTGAAATCAGATAAGAGGAAACATAGTAAATGATCCACATGGGTACAACACGAGGCTCTATTTAGTATCGATGCTAGGCCAGTAACCCAGGTGCTACATGAATGTTCTGAGGGTCGCGAAGTGTCTTGAACAGAACCTTCCCGAATTTGGTAGAAGGCAATTCGGTGGCAACCGAAAGGCCTGGAATCCAAAATACGCAATCTGGTTCGGTGCTATAACTACAATAGAATAAACGAATGCACCTAACCTAGGAAATCAAGCATAAGCATGCATGATAAAAGAAATTCAAGCTAGAAATAGCATAATAAGCAAGCATAAGCCGTCGTACTCTCACACGTGCCCCCCTCAAAGCTGGGTGGCATGAGAAACATCCTGCTTGACAAGGTAATCCTTGAGAGCACGACGTGCGTTGCCCATAGCAACTTCTGCGACCCAACTATCCTCCGAAGGGTCATATCCCTTCAAGCGTATCATGAACTCGAGAGTCTTGCCACCGCGGCGTCGATGAGTGAGAACGCATTCCACCTCGTACTCTAGTTCATCCTGTACGAGAACATGGCACGGTGGCGGTAGCTGCCGTCCCTGGAACTGTTGATTGGAATCCTTGTAGGGCTTTAGTAGCTGAACATGGAAAGCATTGTGAAGCTTCCACGTAGTAGGTAAGTGCAAGCGGAATGTTACTGGTGTCACCTGCGCCTCAACGTGAAAGGGACCACAGAAGCGAGGCCGGAGCTTAGACGGTAGGTGAGACAGGTCCAAGTTGCGTGTGTCGAGAAGCACTTGATCCCCGACTACTACGGAGTGATCTCGTCTCTGTCGATCAGCATACTGCTTCTGGGAGTTCTGCATCGTGGTGAGACGTCGCTGAGTCGTCTCCCATAGTTGCTGCATGGTGGTGACGAAGTCATGTGCGGCTTGGACATGTGCAGGTGTGGTTGGTGTTATAGTCACAATAGGCTTGAATGTGCCTAAAACGAAAGATAGAGAGCACAGACGGATTTCTGCACAGCGGCTTCAAACGTTGATAGCGTTCTGCTCACAGCTGCAAACGACTTGATTCAAATTGGATCTGGAGCGTCTTTACGTCGTCTACAATTAGCAATTTAGATTGCACGATTTGATAAAGAATTGACGACACAGCGTCGGTTTGAACGAACGGTACTATGGCAGCCACTATAGTCTTAGAACACAAGATAGGAAGAGTTACGAGTTGGGAATGACTCCCAGCTCCTACAAACCCCAAGAGCCGAGGTACAGTGATGTGGAACAGTGCCACACTGTCCCCAACCACGAAGGGTCTCGAAACTACCCTTCACTAGGGCCTACACCAAGTGAAATGTTACACTACACAAAGTAATGTAACTATCTTCAATATCTTGAGGTGTACCCTTTTGGCAAGCTTCGAAATCACTTGAGGCTTGACACCAAGGCTCGGGCTCTTCATCACAAACTCATCCTTGAGTTCTTGATGGGTCTGCTGCACACACCTGCGACACGCCGAACGTTCGACACAGGACAAAATAGAAACCGCGCACGACAAAATAGAAACCGCGCGCGAGACACAAACGACCGCGTAACACGCGTCTAGCGATAACTCGCTATTGACTCGACACACACACACTCGACATCATGACTCAACATTCACACACAATTATAAGCATGAAATATATATTATCCCATGCCCTCATACCATTCCATACACACACACATTCACGCACACGGACAACAAGCCGAGTGCAAACCGTAGGGTTGCACCAACAGTTGGCTGCTATGGTGTAAATGGTTCTCGTCCGTAACACAGGAAGAAAGAAGTATTCCCTGTGGCCGCATGTGACGCGTTGTTGTAAGTGAACTCCAGGGTCGGTAACTGTAGATCCCAGTGGCTGATGTTGTCTTTGCAAGCTGTACCCAATTACTGTTCAACCACCTGATTGAGTCGCTCTATCTGTCCGTCTGTCTGGGGGTGGTACACTGAAGAAGCTTTGTCCCCAGCAATCCCATGAGTTCCCTCCAAAACGTACTGGTAAATTTTGGGTCTCTGTCCGAGGTGAGTGTAGTGGGGATGTCGTGGATGGTGATTATGCGGTCTAAGAAGAGGCGAGCAGTTGCTTCAGCTGTAGCCGTGGCGTTGGTCAGGATGAAATGTCCCATTCTAGAGAACTTGTCGATCATCACGAGTATAGCGTTATGCCCTCGTGAGGTCGAAGGAAGCCCAGTGATGAAGTCTAGGCTGACGACTTGCCATGGCTGCTCTGGTACGGGTAGAGGCTGAAGTAACCCTGTTTTTTTCTGCTTGCTACTCTTCATCCGCTGGCACGTGTCGCATGAGGTGGCGAACTGCTGTACGTCTGCTGCCATCCGTGTTACATTTGTGCTAGTGTTAGGGTTGGCCTTGCCTATATCCATCTTGTTTTTTAATGTTAGTTAATTCATTCTTCTGTTCCTATCTTAACATATCATTATCCCGGCGCTGACTCTGGAGGTACCGTGGCGCGGAGGAGCCAGGTGTGAAAGTCCAGTGGCCCTACCCTTCGTATCGAAATGGAGAACTCGAAGGGCCACCATAGCAAGTGTGCGGAAGGCTAGGAACAGTGTGAGGATGAGGATTGAGCTCAGAAAAGTGGGTTGTACGATGATTGATCCACCTGGGTACAACACGAGGCTATATATAGTCTCGACATAAGGCAGGTAACCCAGGTGTTACGCGAATGTTCTGAGGCCCGAACAGAAGTTTCCCTAACTCGGTAGAAAGCAATTTGGTGGGAACCGAAAAGCCTGAGTTCGGTACACGTAACTTGGATCGATGCTATAACTATAATAGAATATAGAAATGCACCTAACATATGAAATCAAGCATATCTATGCACGATATAAATTAACCTAAGCTAGAAACAGCATAATGAAAGCAAGGCAAGCTAGCAAAGCCCGTCGTAGTCTCACAAACGGCCAGGAACGACGAGGGGCGAAACCCCAAGTACGACGCGAGAAAATCTAGAGAATAGGTGGCCTCCAGCCTCTGCGAGAGGTGGCACTAAGAGCACGGGGCGGTAGTCCGGCTTCGTGCGGTTGAGAGGGGTCGAGTGCGTGCTAGGCCGCGGAGCTTTCTAGAAGGAGGTCGCGGGGCCATAGAACGAGAGGCCGCAGGGCCTTAGATCGAGGGTTCTCGGCGCCTTAGAATAGGGGGGGGGGGGGGGGGGGGGGGGGGGGAGGCCTTAGAACGAGGGGACGCGGGGCCTTTGATCAAGGGGCCTTGGGGCCTTAGAATAGGGGGCCTCGGGGCCTTGGAATAGGGGGGCCGCAGGGCCTTAGATCGAGGGGCCTCGGGGCCTTAGATCGAGGGGTCGCAGGGCCTTAGATCGAGGGGCCTCCGGGCCTTATAATAGGGGGTCGCCGGGGCCGTAGAACGAGGGGTCGTGGGGTGTTAGATCGAGGGGCCTCAAGGCCTTAAACTAGGGGGTTTCGGGGCCTTAGTATGTGGGGGGGGGGCGCAAGGGCTTGGTTTAGGGGGCCGCGGGGCTTGCTGTGGCGCTCGCGGCTGCTGCTGAGGCTGCACGTGCATCTGTACGCATGGCTGCTGTTGCACAGGCAATCATGCGCGCAGGACAATAAGCGCGTGCGTGGCTGGCGCGTGTGCGGCGGCGTGTGTGGCTGCTCGTGACGGGACTGGGCGGGCAGCGTACGGCAACCTATGCACGTTCGTGTGTAGGAGCTGATGCGCGCGCGTTTGCCGGGGGGGGGGGGGGGGGGGGGGGGGGGGGGGGGGGGGGGGGGGGGGGGGGGGGGGGGGGGGGGGGGGGGGGGGGGGGGGGGGGGGGGGGGGGGGGGGGGGGGGGGGGGGGGGGGGGGGGGGGGGGGGGGGGGGGGGGGGGGGGGGGGGGGG